TTGTTTAAAAATGAGCTTTGACAGTAGTATGCATCATGATGTACTGTTATGGGTTTTCTTAAGATCAGAATTTTTATCATTGCTTTAATTAAAAGTTCAGCTTTAAGTCATAACAAAACTGCAGCCATGTGACAGTCGACTTGGGTCAATTTGCTTTGCCCATACACCTTTACTGTGTTAGATAACTAAAGGTCACGTAATATGCTGCTAAGTTTGTTGCAGAATAAGGCCTCCTCAATAATTCACCTCATATTCACTGTGTCCTGCAAAGGATCCAAAACGAAATTTATTTGACAATGTGACTTAACATGACAGTAGCGTTTTTTTTAAAAGAACAGCAAACGCCTAAGGCATCTCAATAGACATGCTAATGATGTGACTCACCTGAGTAAAAAGAGATCCACTGCCAACAGTGTCCTCCCTGGGTCAGGGTAATGCCCAAGTGCCCTTGAGCAAGCCACCAAACTCCCAACAGCTATGTTGTGCTCCCTGTGTAGCAGCCCCACTCTGACATCTTTCCACTAATGCATGTCCACAGGTACTGTTTGTGAATGTTTTTTTTTATTTTGGGCCTATTTGTGTGAGAAGCATGTCTCTCAATAACAGAGTGTAAACCAGAATCTCCCTCAATGATTAATAAAGTATGTAAAAGTAATTTGTTATATGTTTCATACAGTAATTCTGAAATATATTTAATGGAGAGAAGAAACTGTCACTAGTATAAGACAACAAATGTCAACTGTCAACTAATAGTCGATTCTGTCCATGTAATCAACAGGTCAGTTTGGAGGTTCATTGCTGTGATGGGGACCCAACCCAGTTTCAGATTCCTTTATGGCCAATCCTGCCTCAAAAACCCGATGTGTCTTCCTAAGAGGAAAGTATAAACCCAGGCTAGTGCCACACAAATGCTCAACCCCCAGAACTTCTTGCACACACCCAAAATCCAACAATCTGAATTTACAGCCCAATTTTACTTGGAAAAAATGAATTCTATGTATTCTTTAAACTCCCTCCATGTTCTTTTAGAAAGACAATTCCATCATCCTTGCACAGGGGAATGAATAATATAATTTAATGGTTGACTTCTAGTACTTTAGTTTTCACTTTAATACATCCACCCCAAGGAATATAAGGAGAATTGAGCTGAACCACTTTTTGTTCTATGTATAGAGGAATCCATTTCTCTAAAACCAGTAATACTTTGAGTATCAGTTTTTATAATGTTTTACACCATGCTGTGACCTGCAGACTGCAAAATTCAAATTTTAAAAACCTTTCCAGTCTTATGCATCAGCATGCACACCTTGGAGCTGGGGTGAAAAGAATTGTGACCGACAGCTGATCTAAGTACATGTTCCCTCTTCCACAGTGGACTGTCATAAGTTTAGTGGGTGACATTGAATATCCACATACATTAAATGAGCTTAATATTGTGCTTAACTATAGTATTTTGGTAAGTTTATTTTCTGCTTGGTGGCAAAAAATGTAGCTTTCTTCAGCCAACTGAAAACGGCCAACTATTTCATAGATCAAAATAAACTTCAAAAATACATACATACATACATACACACTAACATACATATATACATTCATATATATATATATATATATATATATATATATATATATATATACAGTATATATATAATTGAATGATTCAAAGAAAGTTATTTCTGCTTTTGTGATAAAGATCTGTCGGTCCAACATCTGCCCTCCACGAAGAGATCCGATGTGGCTGCATCAAGAAGGATTACTAACTTCCTTAGAAACCAGTAAGAACCTCTCCTCACTTTTGTTTACAAATAGCAATTATCTATACCAATACATCCTAGCATAAGATTCAGATTTGAAATAAAAAATTGAATACAAAATATTTTTCACAAAATGGCAATACTATATCTGAGACCTAAACATGACCTTAAAATCCCATGAGGTTGTTCTCAGGGATCAACAGAAAAAATGTTTTGTTGATGAATGATTTATTATTATCTTCATGGTTAAAATAAAAAATGAGAATAAAAATGTATTAAACTTTCACTTTCCTTTAATTATCTTGCAAAGATGTTTTGGGTTTTTTCTTGATTAAATTATTAACATTACAAATATTGTGAAACAGATATAGAATTACTTAAACCACGATGCAGATATCAGTGTTGTACAACTCATTGCAAGATACTGTTACTCGAACTATAGGAGCCAAGATCTTCCGATTATTAATGTTAAATATGTAAATGGAAGCAGTCTTATTGACTCCTTCACCTGATTTTAGACAAATTCCATGGATTGGCAACATACACATACAAACCTCCTACTGGCCCACAAATCTTTTCAATCAGGGCAAAACTTTGAAGTCTTGAATGTCCCGAAACAAAAAGAAATCCAGGGGAATAATGTTGTAAACAGAGAGCAGCTTCAAAGATCACATAAATCTACAATTACTTTGGCATACATTTCAAAACATTTACAAAGTTCTCAGCACTTAAGATGCTCATACATAGAGCTAAACCACTAACCAAACCTGTGACCACATTTCCAGAATAACCTTCCTTTTTCAATATGTGGCAATAAATCAGCAGGTTTTGTGATAGTGGCTTATCTAAAATGATTTATTAAACTGTAACATAGTACAAAGAAACCCTGAGAGCCTCTTTTTTTGTACGGTTATGGATCTGAATATTAATATAAATTTACCAAAGGACCTATAGATGAACGATGTCAGGTATTGTTGAAAATACCCCCCCCCCCACACACACACACACACACACACACACACACACACACACACACCCACATACACACACCAACAGCAACACTCAATGATTATATAGATATCAGTCAAATAAATACTCTTTCAAACTCAGACTAGTAAGCAAGGATCCTTACTCAATGATGCCCTCTGCTGGTGAAATCTGTGACCAACACACTGTTAGAGTCTCCTAATGCTTGTCCTCGAAGGTGAACTTATTTAGACAATATTATGAATCATGTTTACAATTTCAGTCAGTATTTCATTTAATATAAAAATCTAAATAAGGTGGTTCAATGTGGTTAAACCTTTCGGCATTTACCTACTATTTAACGTGATGAGATTTTAATGGGTCACAAATATGTCGCCTTTGGTTTATTCGCCAATAAGCCATGTGCAAAAGTTCTTTTGTGCGTTTCGGTTTGTGGCCTTCATCCGGGTCAAGCCGAAACTCGTCGGTCTAATAAAGTTAGTAAAGTTTATCTTCACACTACAAGTGTTACTGGAGCTTTTTGACCTCTTCAAGCCTTTCACTTTCCATGAACCTTGGTAGTTGGTGAAGTTCTGCCAGAAAACCCTACTCTGTTCCGACCAGCAGTCGTGCAAATTAACTTCTACTTGTGCACTAAAGTATTTCAATGTAATGTTTCTTTATAATTCGACTCCACTACATCTCAGAATCAGGTATTGCTATATTCAACAGATAAGATAATAGATATGACAACTTTAAGAATATATAAATATTATACAAAAGATCAGTTATCTAGAGAGCACGATTTGTTATGCATTGAGCAGTCACCTGAGTGTTTACTTTCCTCAATTAAATATATGTTGTAAAAAGCTGCTCTATATTGTTGTAGTGCCGCTTTCACTTAGAACAAATAGTTCTGATTATTTTTTCACCATTTGCATTCAAGAAAAAAAAAACATTTTGCATCAGCCTTTGTGTCACCACTTGTACTTATACTGCACTTACCACTATAACGGAACAAAAGTCATGCATCTACCTATAGGGTATTAAAGTGGATTTTAACGTTTGTGCTTTAAATGGAGAGGAAAGAGGAAAGGGGTGCCTCGAAAGCATTAAATCCAGCAAACTGCCCCAGTTTTCAATGTGTTGTATCATATGCCCCCTCTGGCGGATGTCTGAAGAAACTGCAGCTTACCAGAAAAAGCCCCACCGATACAAACAATTTCAGCACTATTGGAGTGGACAGCTCCTCGTGCAAATGACCGTTATGGTAGGAGGACGCCAAGTTACATTCGTTGCTATGTATGAAGGGTTTTGTTGCTGTTGCTAAAAAACAGACATGATATTTGTATGGTTTTTCATACCATAATTTGACCAATTACAACATTGACATTACAATTTTCAAAAAATAGATTGCCTATTTTGTATAGTCTCCAGCTGTTGGCATGAAATTCATCACTCTGAAATTGTCTTGTTTAATTATCCAGGAACAACTTCTTTATTAACTTTAAAGCTGTTCTTTTAGAAGAGACCAATCTTCCATCGCTATTTTAAGAACAGAGCTCAGTTCCTCACTCATCCTAAAGAAAGCCAAGCTGACCTAAATCCCGCTGTTCCCCCAACAGTCGTCCCTATGCATCACCTTACCGCAGAGAAGGGTTATCCTGCTCCCCTCCATGCTCTCTACGGACACCGTTTCCTTATTAACAGAATTATTTTCAATCTGAGTCTTACGACGACCTAATTACCCTGTTCATTTCTGGCCCGTGGCCAGTTCTCATCTGTTGATGGCAGGAACTAATTCTCTGAGAAGTAAGATGTAAAAGGGCACAGAGAGAGAAGTCACAGGCCCCCAAGCTCACATCCAGGGGTGGCATTTGGAGCTGAGTCCCCTCTTTCCCCTGACGCTTGTATTCGTGCTCGTGGTCTTAATTAAAGTGATATTTCGAGAGAGGAGGTTCTGTTTGTTCAGTTAATGAACCCCACTATTCTCTGCGGGCAAATGGAAATGCAAGCACTCCAATTAGCATATGTTAGCATTTTACTGTTTATTCCTCACCGTGGAAAACAGCTTACCAAGGCGAAAAGATTCCCACCCTTGTAAGAGTGGCTGATAACTTTTTCACCCCAAAATAATTGACTCCAGCTTGTAAAACACAGATCCAGGAAACTCACATCTGCGCCTGTGCATGTCGATCGAGTGAGTGCGTGTGTAGGCCTTCAGTTTTATGAATTTCCTCAGGCTAAACATGCATGTTTCAGAGACATAAAAAAAAATCATTTGAAAAAAATATTTTATTCTCATAAATGTATACAGTACATGTGTGGGAAAATTCCCCGGCCTATACAGTTATCTGCATCATGTTGCAGCTTGCATAATAGTACATTTTCATACTATTTGTCAAATTCACTCAAGCTCTGTCAGCAAACAAACATCCAAAAAGAAAAACACTTTTTCTTTTTGTTTAACCAAAAAATATAAATTCATAAGGATGTGCAAAAATTATTTTCCAACAATGCTTTTTTCAAAACACAATGGATGAAATCGCTTCTGCAGTTTGATTGTCTAAATTATTATATGAATAATGATGATAACGACAACAACAACAATAATAATAAGCAGACACATACATTGGCCATGATTTAGTGGCAAGTCACTTAATTGGCCATAAGACTTCATTTCCCATCAGCATTTTAGCCAAAATGAACTGTTCGTTCATTATATCTCTATAAATTGTACATCCTGTTTTTTCGATCCACCTAATTCAAATATCCATTAATTCATCTACCAAATGTTTGCTTCCTCTATGTTGAGATGAGGTTATTCGTCATATTAATCATCCCTTCAGACAGTCATTGGTTCATCAGTCATTATACAAGTCATTATTTATTATCGCAGCCTCCCCTTGGGGGGACATCTGAAGGCGTCGCTTCTTGCCAAAAGTGGAGAAGGAGTTGTGGACATCTAGCTCACTTCGCTGCGCTGCAGGCCTGAGGGTGCAAAAGCCTGATGGGGTCCCTGGGATGTACATATTGTGGTGGTAGTCGGGTGGTGGGTGTGGGTGAGGGTGTGGAGGGATGGATGGCTGCTGCTGCTGGGGAGGAGGTGTGCAGCGAGGAGTCCATGGGCGAGAGGGTACCCCGCTGGTTGAAGGAGACATCTTGTAGTCTGTGGTATGACGAGCAGAAAGGAGAGGAGAAACTTAATTATGCATTACTAATGTACTACAGTAGTGTTGTTTGTGTTAACATAGGACTTTTTTAAAACTACGTTTGACGGACAAAAGCACAATTACATAACAAAAGAACGCAGAAAGAATACAAATATGGAGTTTTAATGAAGAAGTATGAATATAACCCTGCTTATTGTTATTGGTCATTGAGATAATGTATGACTGTAACAAAACATATTAGAGTGAAATAAAGGAAATCAGAATGACATTACATAAAAGCACTAGTGAGTTATATACAAGACATGTGTGACAACCTGATGATGCATAATCTAACCTTGAGTAAGTGCAGTTTGGATGAAAGTCTTTGTCTATTACCTTTCATGCCTCTCATGTGAGTTCCCCAGGTCCAGTACTGTCCAGGTGCCATGGAGGTGACATAGTTCTCTGGGTCTGCATGCATGGCCTTACGCATGAGGGTGCCATCCATGTTGATAGAGTTATAACTGCAGACAAGAGGCCAGTATGTAATGACTGCATGCATTACACTTATGCAAATTCAGTGCCTGCATCCACTTTGATATAGGCCTATATATTTTTTAATGTCTTCGTGTCTTTTATTGATTTTTTCTTAAAAACAATAAAATATTGAGAGAAATGTTAGATCGCTTTACATTAGGTTGCAAAAGGTGAAAGTTTGAAAATAGTACCTTTTAATGGAGGAGTTCTGATTTTTTGTGAGGGTCCAGTCTGTGTTTGGCTGCTTCAGCTGCAGGGGAAAAACAGCAAGAAAGTATTTTATTTCAGCTTCATAAAAATAATTAAAAAAAAAAAAAACATGTAAAGACAGACAGCAGTGTAATGTCATTATCCGGGTCTATTTGGAGAAAAGTCTGTTATCAAAGTAAGTTACAAAAATAAAACAATGCCTGCTCATTCTAACCTGTTAAATCAGTAGAGGTCAGATATAATTGACATGAGAAGCAGTATATCCTTGTATTCGTCCTGAAATGGAGACATGAGTCCTGTCAGTATGGATCGTGACTGC